TGTGTGTGTGTGTGTGTGTGTGTGTGTGTGTGTGTGTGTGTTTGAGACGGTTTCACTATGCAGGTTAGGCTGGCCTTGAATTCATTTTGTAGCCCTGGCCTCAAACTTGCAGCAATATTCCTGCCTCAGCCTCCTAAGTGTTGGGATTACAGGCATGTGCCACCACTCCTGGCCTGCAAATTATATCTTATTTCCACAACCAGACTTAGCCCTGAGACAAGGTCTCTGTTTTGCATATGACAAAGTGCTGTACACTGTGTTGAACCAGGTAATTCCCTCATTACCATACCGGGGATTTAGAGAGGTAAGTGACTTTTCCAAGCACCCCAGGCAGGGCCTCAAGTGCAAAATCAAGCCTGTGCTCCCAGGAGATGCTGCCTGCCCACTCTACCTATTCTCTGCCTTCTCCTTTGTAACAAAACCCTTTTTATTTGGGTTGGGAATGTGCCCAGTTAACATTGTTAGCCTTGATTTGCAGCTACCTATGTGCTATGACTCGGTCCTATACAGTTCCCAGGAGTCTACTTCAGACGAAATGCAGACCAGGTGACTGGAGCTCCACTAGCCTGTGAGGCATCCTTGAGGAAGGGAGCCAGAATTGAAAGTGGCAGAAAATAGAGGAGCCTGGGTTCTTGCTAACATCATGGCTGTCTCAGTCATGCTGATGGCATATTTTCCAATGCCATGGTAATATGAACTCTCATTAAGCCACAGAAGTAGAACCTATTAATACACAGCCAGACCTGATCCATGGGCTCCAGTGAGGTCTCACCCCTCTTGCGCCACTCGGACATGACTCAGAAGCAGCAGCCAGCATGGGTGATATAAAGTGTTTCTTTATTTGAACATCATTCCACCTGCACTGAAGCTCAAATCCAGCAGCAGCAGAAGGGGTCAGGACCAAAATAAAGTGTTACCAAATTGGACAGTGAACAGTGAGGACACATTCAGACAGAACTTACTAGTGGAGTATAGACGATACCAAGCTATCCTAAAGACATAGCGGAGGCCCTTGGAGGTCTGTCCATCAGATCTCTGGAAAAGGACTTACTCCCTGTTCCAGGAGCCTCCAGTCCCACCCAAAAGCTAGCTCTGAGCCAGGCAGGGGCCCACATGTTTCTGGTGCTGGGAAGATCCCAGTTTCTCCAGAGAGAGTCCCCTGTCTCAGCTCACACTGGAAGCTGGCGAAGGCTGACTCCTGGGCCCAAGCAAGAATCTCAAAAGGCCAGAGACTCTTTCCCCATAGCCTTGCCTAAAAGTTCTCATCTTCTTGGCTATTCCAGGCCTGAAAAGATCTTGCTCCTACCCACATCCTCACCCCCTCAGGAAAGTTTCCTCCATAGGTTCTGGTCCCCAAAGAGGAAAGTTCACCTCCCACAGCCCAGGTAGTAAGGACTGATTAATACCCTGGGCTAAAGGCTAAACTGCCTCCATGTGTGGCTCCTGCTTCTCCTGAAAGGGCATAGAAAAGCAGGTGGCGTCAGATCCCCCTCACCTACTCACCATGGGCAGAGGACTCCTCCAGAGACCTAAAGCCTGGAGGCTCTGGGTTGGCACCCAAGAGGCCTTCCTGGGGTCAGATGTGTTTGTCCCTTCCCAAAGACTAAAGCCACTTTGCAGGCTGTGCATAAAGACAAACCAAAGGCCTGTCCTTTACATGATGCTGCCATTGCCCCAGAGGGCCACTGGAACCATGGGCTCACCTGGGTCCTCAGCAGAAGCACCTTTACCTGCTCTGTCCCACCTCTGCTGAATCTTCCAGGGCAGGGCTACGGTTTGCTTCCCACTCCAACCTCCATCCATTCCCTGGGCTACCCTGGGGCACACCCAGGCCTCAGCCCACCCAATCCTGTTCTAACCCTTGGTTACTCCTAGGCTGCCCCTTGCCCCACCCAGGCAGCAGCTGGCTGGGTAGAGGGTGGCATGGAAGCATTGTCAGACCACCCCAAAAGGAAACTGGCTCTTCTTCCTCCCCCAGCACTGACCCACCGCCAACACTGCCTGGACTCGGCTCCCCTCTGGAATGATTCCACACTCCAATCTTCCTGGGGCTACTTAGGCCTCAGGCCTCCAGCCATGTGGCCTTCAGGGGGCTGATTCGAACCTCCCCTGGAGCACAGGAGTCTTGGGCCACTAGTGTCCTTCAGAAAGCAAGCTGTTCCCTCCCTGCTCCCCACACAGCAGCATCGTGCCACCTCCATCCTCTTCTTCCTGTTCTTTTTCCTGCATGTCAGTCTTGCCCTCCACGAATCACCTCTCCATTAGCCTCTTCACCAGTTCTTTCCTGTCCTGCCACTCCTCCCTCCTCCCCCAGATTCCTTTCTGCCACAAGCCCCTGGATTTCAGTCTCTTCCCTTCCCATTTCTCCAGCTCTGCTCCTGCATCTCCAGATCCCTCTCAGTTATCTCTGCATTTGTCTCCTCCCTGCTGCTTTGCCTCCCTCTGCACTCTTGGCCCTTCGCCCCTCTCTTCCTCTTTCCCAGTCACTCGTCCCCTGCCCTCCATCACTCTCCCTCCAACTCTGGGCTCCTGTCGGACTCCGAGGAACTCATTCCTGCCCCCCACTGTCTGCTGCACCTCCAGCGCTACCACGCGCAGGCAGCACGGGCAAGGGCCAGGAGAGTAAGAGTGGGATCCAGGGAGGCTCCAGACGGGGTTGTGCAGACTCAGGTCTTTCTCAGGTCCAAGTCCCATGGAAACGAACACAGGGTGGCACATATACGGCTCTCGAGCTGCTTTCCTCCCTGCTGGCGGAGGCAATCCCGATCAACAATTAACAGCACGCTTCCCCAGGCAGCCTGGGAGGCAACCCTCCTGCTCCACAGTGGACCAGTCAGCAGGCACCCAAGACGAAGCTGGTCTGCTGCCCCCAACCAGGTGCTGGAGGGGTTGTACAGCCACAAGCTGGAGGGCTCCCGAGGCTAGATGGCTCTGCCACCAAATCCACAAGGTAATGTGGAGTGTTCAGAAGCTGCCTAGAGTCTCCCACACTGCTGAAGGGCACGGAGAAGACCCACCGTGGGGTGGGGGAGAAGACCGCTTTGCCTCTCTCCAACATACACACACACTCACAAACACAAATACGCACACACACTCACTCATGCCTCGGCTCCAAGCACTGCCCACAGGCTGCACACCTTGGTCGTATTACAAGGTGACAGGTAGGCAGGGAGAGGAAGAGGCAGGGATGCTCAAGGCCCAAGAGTGGGGACAGGGGTACCCTGTTCAGAGGTGACCTGCAAGTTCAAGTTATGCAGAAAAGTATCAAAGAGGCAAGAAAGTCTCTGCCCTTGGCAGATGCCTGGGGTGTAAGGACCGTGAGAAGGGTAGAAGGGGTGACAAATCGCATATTCCCCACCTTCTTCTGGCCCCCTCCCCAACCCCAACCCTAACCCTGACACCAGGGCCAAGAAGTCTGTGCTGTACAAAACAGGCCAGGGTCAAGGGTCCAGTCATGGTGAGACATCTCAGCCGGCAGAGAGGAGGCCAGGCCACCCAGCCGGCACCCCCTCCCTGCCCCCGGAACCTGCATCTGTTCACAAGCTCTGCGCTGCTCAGGGCTCCAGGCAGCGAGTGACAGTGAGGTCCCCTGCTCTCTCCCTTGGCACAGCTCACCCTCGTTTGGGGTCCTGGGAGGAGGCTGGGGCAGGAGCAGAGGAAGCCTCGGCAAGGCTGGCGGCACCTGGAGCTCTGTGGCAGATGTGGCGGAACCATCATCAGGAAAAAAAAAGTAGGAAAGAGTCTGGCCCACCTGGGGCAGTGTCGTGAGTCAACTTCTGTAGGAGGCAAGGATACAGCCAGGTCGCAGCCTTCCAGACTGGGGAGGTCTGGGAGACAGAACCACGGTACCTCCCTTCCCTGGGGATCTGCAGGCCACTCTGGAGAGGAGAGAAGCAGCCAAAGGATGGGATCTAGGTCCCTTAGGCCAGACTGAGACGAGACTCATAATTAGCCCCTCCCAGGGTCCACAGGGCCCTCCCCTCCGCCGGGCTGCAGAATGGCCCTTGTCTTTTCTTCAGAACCTGGAACTCCCAGGCTGGCTGTAGCTGATAAGTCAGTCTGAGATCTTCCCTCAGAGCCTGGACGAGAGGGCAGGTGACAGGACAAGCTGAGGTCAGGCCAATTCCTGGGCTGGAGTCTTGGCCTTCAGGGTCCCTGTGAGTGAGCCACAGGGCAGGGGAGGACTCCCCATCCGGAGACATCACCTCCTGGCCGCAACACAGAGCTTACTGTAGTGCCCACGAAGTCTAAGAGAGAGAGAGAATTGGAAAGTGTCAGAGACCAGCTAGGCAGAGACCTCCCTCAGCCACCCTCAGGGCAGTTGTAAGCTGGCTGGCAGGATGAGCCGGGGCTCCATTCGACCTTCCTGAGCCCAGGTTTCTCCATCTGAAGACAAAGCTAGCCAAGGGCTTGGCACAGGGCACACCTGCAGATGGTGGCGATGTGGTTTTCCCTTTTGTTCTGAGGGTTTGTGACTCAAAACTCAGAGCCGGACTGTAAGGCTCACTCATCTTGAGCTCCCAATGAGGGACAGATGTCCCCAGCAAGGGACAGAGATTCCTTGTTAGGGAGCTTTAGGGAGGGAGGCAGGGCACTAAGCTGGCCACCTGGCCCTGATCAAATCCCCAAGCTGCACCTCTGGGAAAGGCCCTGGGAGCCAGCTTGGTCTTGCACTTCTGGAAACTGCCACCAGAGGGCAGGCCCTGCCCTCACAGCCCACAGAGGCCAGGATCTGAGGGCTCCCTCTGAAGAAGTCTTAAGGACAGGCTAGCTGAATGGGGAGGCAGTAAGTCTCTAGCTCACCCACTGAGGCAGGCAGCTTGACAGCCCAGAAGAGCCTGGGCTTTGGACTTGGCCCTGTATTCAGACTCTGACAGGACCACTTAGGACCCTAGGGCAAGTTTCTCTGCTACCTTAAAGCTGGCAGGCTTCTTTCCCCAGTGTGAAACAGCGGTCCTGCTCATCACTGGTCCTTCTCTGTACTACTCTCACCACCCTCACTTTATGAGGTACAGGACACCGAAGCTCAGGGTTAAGTAATTTCTGCTTGAATATGATCTGCCTCACAGTCCAAGACTTCAACCACAATGCTGATTACCTCTGCTAACAAGATATCACTTGCAATCACCACCATGACCGCCATTGCACAAACGAGGAGAGACTGCCAGAGACCAAGGGAATTAATATACAGTGCTGAACACAATCCTACTCATGCTAACAGTTCCAGGAAGGCTGTGACTACAAAAAGCACCACACCAAACGCAGGCTGGGTCCCTGGTGCCACCCTCTGGAGAGCCATCTGGCATTGCCATTACAATTTGAAGTGCGCAGTTCCACTTCTAGAGCAACCTAGAAAACATGTGGATGTGTGCACAAGAAGACCAGACAAGACACTTACCTTAGCACTGCTGGGGAATGGAAAGACCTAGAACCTCCTTGGGAGCCCTCCTGGGGAGGCCAGTTAAAGGCCAGTTAATAAATTACAGGTGCCCCCCCCTTTTTTTTTCCAGTACTGGGGAATGAATTCAGTGCCTCCACACTGAGCCACACTCTCAGCTTTTGTTTATTTTTTGAGGCAGAGTCTCACTAAACTGCCTAGGCTGGGTTCAGATTTACAATCCTCCTGCCTCAGCCTCCCAAAGTACTGGGATTATAGGCATGTGCCACATGCCCAGCTAGTTCCTTCATCTCACATTATGCATATATGCATATAAAAGGATCTAAAGACAGAAGTTACCCCTGAGAGTCTGGCCTTATGTGTAAAATTTTATTATATTCTACTGTTACTTGATGTATATAAAATTTATGTGTAATATACTAATTACATAGCATACTATAGTAAATACTGCTCCTATAATCCTAGCACTTGGGAGGCTGAAGCAGAGGATCACCACAAGTTCAAAGCCAGCCTGGATTACATAGTGAGTTCAAGGGCAGCCTGAACTACACAGTGAGACCCGATCTCAAAACTCCCTCCCCACTGCAAAAAAAGAAAAAGAAAAAAAAAGAAAAGAAAGCAAACAGAAATGACAGGATGGTGGCTCTCTGTGGTTGGGATGGTGGTTATCCTTGTGTGTATTCCTGGGAATGGAACCCAGGTCTGCCACATGCTAGCCAAGTGCTCTACCAGTGAGCTATACCCTGAGCCCAGAGTTATAATTCTTATTTTTTCCAGCTATAGTTTGTTTGTTTGTCTCACTATGTAGATCAGGCTGTCCTTGAACTCACTTTCTAGTCAAGGCTGGCCTTCAATTCGTAGGGATCCTCCTGCCTCAGCCTCCTGAGTGCTGGGATTAAAGGCACACACCACCACACCTGTTTTTTCCCTTTGCTTTTACATATATATATATAAGCATGTGCACATACCCGCTTCATACCATAATGATAACAACGTTTGCTTAGTTTTGAGTTTCATAAAGAGTCACTCTGTCATTTCCTATAATTTCTTTTTTAGCTGGGAGTAATCTGAGCACAGGACAAGCCCAAACCTGGGCAATTCAGCGAGACCCTGTCTCAAAAAATTTTTACAAAGGACTTGGAGGGCTGGGGAGGTGGCTCAGTGGTAGAGTTCTTGCCTTGCATACACAAGGCCTGGGTTCCATCCTCAGCACCACAAAAGAGAAGAAAAGGGCTGGAGATGTAGTGCAATGAGAAGGCTCCGAGGTCAATCCTCAGTGCACGGTGCCCGAAGGAACACAAAAACACAACTCGATTTTCTTCTCAGTATTATTTCCCAGATGCACCCCCTTGTGTGGCACATAACCAGCTTTGCTGCCCACCCTGACCTGCCTGCTCCGCTGCCCGCGCCTGCGGGCTGGCCTCAGGAGTCTGCGCCTGCCTGCCTGTCAAGCCAACCTCGGAGCACCTCCTGGGCCGGGTTGAGGCCGCCCGCCCGCCCGCGCGCGATCAGATGCTCAGGCCTCGGCTCCCTTTCCTCTGCGGAGGCCCGCAGCCCCCACGCCCGCACGCCCGCACTCGCCTTTGTTCTCCTGCTTCAGGTCCTCCTGGAGAAGGTCTGTTTGCCGATTGCCCAGCACAAAGGCGAGGAAGGAGAGGATGAGGGCGTTGAGGATGCCGATGATGGCCAGGATGTACGCCCAGCGCACCGAACAGTCCCCCAGGGAGTACTTCCCGGTCTTGGCCCCACACATGTCCCGGATGGTCTCGGCGTCCCAGCCATCAGGGAAAATCATGCAGCCCAGGACCAGGCAAAGGGCTGCGCGACAGGGACCGCGGCGGAGAAGGAAGAGAGAAGGGATCGTTACTCCTGGGTAGAGGGCCCTGCACGTCCTGGGCATGCGCAAGCCGAGGGCCACGCAGGGCCTCCTGCCCGGGGCGCAGAAACTTTCTGGAACCCTCCATCGGGTCACTGCCGCACCCTCCTCCTCAGCTGCCTCGGACCTCCCAACCCCACCTAGTTCTTAGCCTCGCACATCCTCACCATTTACTAGCTTTTGTTGAGGGGGAGGTGTTGTTTTGGCATGCACTGAACGACTGCAGACTGGGAACCCTTTCCCTTTCCTCCCAGAAGCTGGAAATAACGCTGCTGTCGGGCAGTACGACCCGGCAGGCAGCGCCGACTGGCTCTCACTTCCGCCTGTATTTCCGCTTCCGACAGGGCGGCCAGTGCACGCGGGCGGAGCCTGTGCTGAGCGCCCGGGGCTTGAGGCCTGCGGGCCTGGAGGGCGCTGGGAGCGGTTCTGAGCCAGTGGGGGCCGGCGTCTGTGCGTGCAGGGCCCGGCAGAGGTATGTTATGGCACTGTGGTGACCAGGGCTCGGGCTGCTTTTGTTCCGCAGCGATTTGCTAGAAGTGGGACCCGCGAGGATGCCTCCACGTCGAGTCTCCCGGTGCGGGTCATCGGTCCGCATAAAGACTTCAGGGGCTGACAAAGGGCTTTGCCAAAAGCCTAGGGTAAAGGTTAGCTGTGTCAAACCCGTCATAGCCATGACATAGTAACTAGGGCCGGGGATATAGCTCAGTGGCACGAGCGCCTGCCTGGCAAGCCAAGGTCCTGAGTTCATTCCCGGTACAAAAAAAAAGAACCATTGTGTCATCACATAGTAACTACAGAAATAAGAGAACGCTGGGGGTGTTGGCTTCAGGTGAGGAGGGAGGGGCAGAGAAGGCAGAGAGAAAAGGGGTAGGGCCCCATTAGCACCCATCCTCCGGACCTAGCTCTTCCCCTTCCCAGCTCCCAAAGGGGTCTAGGTCACCAACCAGAGCCAATGGGCTCTGCGTATTTCTCTCCTAACAGTGATTGGCTCCCAAAGGGGCACGTACTGCCTGGCAAGCCAATGGGAGCCACCAGACTCAGACCACTGGAGGCTGGAGTCTGCAGAGCTGCGACTCCCTGGTGGCTGGCTGTGGCCTTCATTCCCACCTGCCTCTGGATGAGGGATCGGAGACCCAAAGTTCCGCAAGGGGCTGCAGCTACGGGACCTTGACCCCATGCCTGCCCACGGAGGCCTTACCTGGGTTGTAGATGACTGCAAAAGGGCTGGGGGTGGGACAGTGGCAGAGTGAGAGCAAGGTATCCACAAGGCCCTGATTCAATCAATCTCCAGGGCCACAAAAAAATAATTGGTAGATGACAGTGTTAGGTAGTGGTCAGTATGTTGCCTGTCTTGGGTGACCCGTCTGCCCCATGGGCCTGGGGTCCCCTTTCCCAATAGGAAGCTGCATTTCCACTGCCCCACTCCATAGGGTGCTGCCCTGCAGATGCGCCTCCCTTCCCCCTCCCTGGCTTGCCTCCTCCAAGGTAGTTCTCACTCCCACCCCTAAGGACTGGGAACCGCTCCAGGTGAACGGCCGGAAAATGCAAAGGCCCTACAGTAAAAGGTAGCTGGGTACATTGAAAATTAAACAAGTCTTAAGATGCCTGTTGGACGCCCATTGGACACCCGAAGACAGGAGCCTGGGGGGAAAACCTGGGCTGGCAGTGTAAATTTGGGGGCTTCAGGAATTTGTGAGAGTTCAATTTCTGGGACCAGACCCTTGGCCAGTGCTCCTACAGGGAGTGGGAAGAGGAGGAGGCTTGTCCCTCCCCTACCTATACACACCTTTGGCCAGGTCAGTGGATCCTGCAGGAAAAGGAGGTAAGCCCAGGTTGAGCAGGGGAAGGAGAAGGGGCCTCACATTGCCAGCGCCACCTTGCCCCGGGCTCCTCTGGGCTTTCTGGAAGCTCCTGCCTACCCCATCACTAGGCTGTGAACCTCTGGCCAGGAAGAGTAGGGCAGAGAATGGACAGGATGAGCCCATGCCTTCCAGCCACCTCCTCTCTGCCCACCCCTCCCCCAGACACCAGAGTGGCCCCTTCTCTTCAGTGTGCTTTGCACCTTCCTGGAGCATCTATGTCTCTATGGAAACCACTCGGGTATTCTGTGCTCTAGCCGCATGGCTCCCAGCTACTGCAGGCCACCGTGCCCTCCATAACCAGCACAGAGACCTCCTGAGGCTCACTTTCCATTCTCTCCCCACCCTACCCCCACATTGTGTTCATTGTGCTCAAGTCAGAGCTTAGATTTCTCTTCCCTTTTCTGTACAGATCTGCCAATATTAAACATTCCCTCAGCACCCTAGGGTATCTCACATCAGATACCTAGCATCATCCATGACCTCTACCTCCCAGGTCCTAGTGATGCCTTCACCCTCTCTTGAAAGTCTCCAGGCATTTGATTATACCAGTCCTCGACCACCATGCTAGGGGTCAGGCATCTTCATCCAGCTCCCCAATACTCCCTAACTTGTCCTGCTCCTAGCAGACAGGGATACGACAAAATTAAGAAGAATAATGTAAATGGGCTGAGTGTGGCAGTGCACACATATAATCCCAGTACTCAGGAGGCTGAGGCAGGAGGATGGTGAGTTTGAGACCAGATTGGACTATATAGTAAGACTGTCTCAGAAAAGAAAATATTAAGCGGAGGGTGTAGCTCAGTGGTAGAACGTTTGTCTAGCATATACAAAGCCCTGGGTTCTACCCCTGGAAGTGCAACAATAATAATATAATAATAATATGAATAATTTGAAACTCCTTTTTTTGGTGTTTTGAGACAGAATCTTGCTTGGTAGTCCAAGATGGCCTTGAACTCAATATATAGCCCAGGCTGGTTGAAACACATAATCCTCCTGCATCGGCTTCTAGAGTGTTAGAAATATAGGTGTGAACTACTACACCTGGCTCTGGGTTAAATTTTGTTTAAAAATAGCACTGAATTCTTAACCATGTTCAGGGTGCTAAGCTCCTGAGCTTGTTTAATCTATAAAAATATATGAAGTGGGAAATAGATTGCCCTCATCTTACAGATGAGGAAACTGAGGCCCAGAGGAAAGTATTCAGTGTCTTATCCAGGGTTACACAGATATAGTAGTAAGTAGTGGGATCTGTATTTAAGACCAGGCCCTTGTTTTTTAAATAGACCCACTTTTAAACAGATGAATTTAGATCACTTTCAAAGAAAAGGAGACCAGGACCATTTGCCATGAGTAGAAAGACTCCATAAATACAAGCACAATGAAACAAAAATAGTATTCTTCGATTCTAGGTAGGTGCTTTTACCTGCCAAGTGCTCCAAGCCTAAGGACCTGTGAATAGGCAAGAGAGGAGCTGAAGACTCTCACATCAGCAGCAAGCTGACGCTGCTTCTTGGAGGCAAGACACTGGGCGTGGAGCAGTGTGCTCACCACTGGTGCCTGGTGCCATCTTGGCTATGTCCCAAATTTGGCAAACACATCCCACCTTGTCATGCATCACACAAGGCTCAGCTCCATTATTTGTTGTTGTTGTTGGTTGGGTCTTTTTGTTTGTTTGTTTGTTTGTTTTTTGAGACAAGATCTTGATGTGGCGGGGCATGGTGGCGCACACCTGTAATCCCAGCACTTGGGAGGCTGAGGCAGGAGAATCGTTGTGAGTTTGAGACCAGCCTGTGCTATAAAGTGATCTCAAGGCCACCCTGAACTGCACAGCAAGACCCTGTCTCAGAAAGATTAAAAAAAAAAAAGGATCTCGATGTGTCGCCCAGGCTGGCCTCAAACTCATGGTGATCCTCCTCCTGCCTCATCCACCCTAGTTGTGAGTTTATAAGTGTGTACCACCACACCGGCTCAATGTTAAACTGTACTTGAGGCAAAGCAGTGAGCCTCTCTGAGCTCACTTGTGAAACAGGGGCCATGACATTCCTTCAGCCCACTTCCGGAGAATCATAGGAGAGGGTTGAGCATGGTAGGTCCTCTGGGTGGGCACAGGCAAGTCATGGTGACTCTCAGTAGAACGGAAAAGCCTTAGACAAAGAGACGAGGCTGTTCAACAGTCTAGAAATGAGAGCTGGGTATGCAGGTGCACACCTATAATCCCAGCACTCTGGTCAATTTAGCAATCTAGCAAGATCCTCTCTCAAAATATAAATGAAAAATGGCTCAGGAGGTAGCTCAGTGCAAAGGCCCTGGATTCAATTAGCAGTACTGGAAAAAAGAAAAAGAAGTTAACAGTGGTGGCCTGCCGAGGAAAGTAAGCTCACTTCTTCCTGTGTAACCATGGCACAGAAGCCAAGCTCAGCATCTGCTCATCCCTCTGACCTTGTGTTTGAACCTCCAAATTTTAGCTAAGACTTTGACTGTAGAGAATAAAGACTAGATGTGGCCACCGGACTAAGCAAAATTCACATAGTTGTGTTCTTTGGCTTCAGGGAAACAACTTTGTGTGTGTATGTGTTCTGCTGGGGATTGAGCTCAGGACCTTGTGCATGCTATGCACATATTCTATCCAGGGATACACCCCCATTGCCTGTATAAGCATTTATGCCCCCTCCTTCTCCATCTCTTCCTCCACCCTGCTATCTGGCATGCAGATGTGATGTTAGGGATTAAGCGGCCACTTTCATCAGTGAGGATTCTGCCGTACCATGAGAGTGCTGCAGCAGAGAGCTGAGACTTTGGCAGCTCCTGCACCAATTCTGGACTGCCCAGCTCTTTGCTACTTTTTTTTTACATAATAAACCAGAACTTTGTAAACTACAATTATGTTGGGTTTTCCCATCATAGGCAGCCAAACCCAGTCCTGATAATGTTCTGTCCCTTTTGAAATTTGCAGCGTGTGTATTGCTGAGGAAAGAAGTGTTTAGCTTTGTATTCTTGGGGAAGCATCTTCACCTCTCTGAATCTCAGTTCTGTAATCATAGGAGTGGTGATCAGGCCTTCACAAGGCCGCAGGCAGATCA